CTCTCTGTCCTCAGTACCACGCGCTGGGGCTGCTGTACCACGTGCGCAAGAATGACCGCCTGGCGGTCAGYAAGATGATCAGCAAGTTCACGCGACACGGCCTCAAGTCGCCCTTCGCCTACTGCATGATGATCCGCGTGGCCGGCAAGCAGCTGGAGGAGGAAGACGGCAGGTCCGCCCTGCTCCCCGCTGGGGGTGCCCCTCGTCACCCCCCACAGCGTCCCCAACTGTCTCTCRTCCCTTGTCACCCGCAGCCGGGACAGCCCGCTGTTCGACTTCATCGAGAGCTGTCTTCGCAACAAGCACGAGATGGTGGTGTACGAAGCCGCCTCGGCCATTGTCAACCTGCCAGGCTGCAGTGCCAAGGAGCTGGCCCCCGCCGTGTCAGGTGGGCCCCCACCCCCGCCCACGTCTGCCTGCGGGAGCCAGGGGCACCCCGAGATCGGCCGCGCTCTGGGGTTGGGGTCCCATCTGGGTTTTTTGGGGCTGGGGATTGATCCCAAAGGTGCTTAGCCACTCAGCCCCGTCCCCAACCCTTTTTATTTTTATTTTTATTTAGAGACAGGGTCTCTCCCTGAGTTGCTTAGGAGCTTGCCAAGTWGTTGAGGCTGGCCTCCACCTTGCGATCCTCCTGCCTCAGCCTCCTGAGTGGCTGGGATGGCAGGCGTGGGCCACCAGGCCTGGCTGGGAGGGCTATTTTTGATTCTGTCTTTCCCCTAAAGAGGCCAAGATGAGGGTCGGGTCTTTTCTGAAGCCAAGCAGGTGGCCTTGGTATGGAGAAGGCCTATTGGAGGAGCTCAGGATGTGTGGAACCCCTCTCAGGAGCTGTTCCCTGGTGTTGTGAGGAGTCAGTGACTAAGACCCTCAGCGGGCGACTCTGGTGCCTGCACACAGCAGGTGCTCAATAAGTGAAGAGCACCACTGGGCTGTCTCTTGATGGGCAAGGAGGCTGCTCACAGCCCAGCCACCCAGGGCCGGGGCCCAAGTGGGCTTGTCCCCTCCTCCAGAGAGGCCCTGCCCTGGTCTTCCCAGCACTGAGGGCGGCCTGGCTGCACCCCGTGTCCCCCCACAGTGCTCCAGCTCTTCTGCAGCTCCCCCAAAGCCGCGCTGCGCTACGCCGCTGTCCGCACCCTCAATAAGGTAAGAATCCCCATGCRGGAGGGTGGGATCCTGGCTGTTTTGTTATTTTGGATCCCAAGGATKGAACCCAGGGGTGCTGAACCCCTGAACCCCGTCCCCAGCCCTTTTTAGATTTTAATGAGACGCAAGGTCTCACTGAGTTGCTAAGTTGCGGAGGCTGGCCTCCACCTTGCGATCCTCCTGCCTCARCCTCCCAAGCCGCTGGGATGACAGGCGTGGGCCACAGCGCCTGGCCAACTGGTGGTGTTTTGGGAAAGGCATAGACCTGGTCCTCGTTACCTTTTCTGGGGTGTGAGATTCTGGGGTCACAGTTCCTTTCTCTAGATGGTGAGCTCATCCGCAGAATCTCTGACTGGGCCAAACTGTTTAAATGAGGTAATGGAATCTCTGTCTCTCTGCGCCCCCCAACAGGTGGCCATGAAGCACCCATCAGCCGTGACAGCCTGCAACCTGGACCTGGAGAATCTGGTCACAGACTCGAACCGGAGCATCGCGACCCTGGCCATCACCACCCTCCTCAAGACGGGCAGCGAGAGCAGCATCGACCGCCTCATGAAGCAGATCTCGTCCTTCATGTCGGAGATCTCGGACGAGTTCAAGGTAGCCCAGCCTCTGGACGCCCCTGGGCCTCAGAGGACAGGCGCCATGYGCTCGCTGTGTCCACAGGCCTCNGCGTTCAGCCATGGAAATGTGGAGGCTGGCCTCCCTGACCTGGAGGCAGGCAGCCTCCCTTCTGTGGATGGAATGTTCTCTGCATACTCTTTCTCTCTTTCCCACGGAGCCCTAAGGTCGCAAGAGCCGCCCTGGCTTTGGAAAAGGTCCTCCCCTGGGCTTGAGTGTCTCCTGAAGTCATTGAAGCGGTCAGATCTGTGAGCCCAGCCTAGGTCCCCAACTGGGATGGCTGGTGACAGGGACAGGGCTCAGTGGTTAAGCACCCCTGGGTTCCATCCCTGGTCCCTTCACCCCCCAAAATTAATTTAATGTCCTCTAGGTCTCCGACAGAACTGGGTCCCACGTGGTTGCCTGTGAGATGTGTCCTGCTTTGCACACGAGTGTGACTTGACCCCCACCAACACACACACACAGTTTGGCGCATGCGCATTTTAGCTGCTGTGGAAAAAATGCCCCTGGGCTCGCATCCAGCAGGCGCCACCCCGTGTTGGCCGCGCGCAGTGCAATGGTTTGCAGGAGGAAGTGCCACCTAAGGGGGACGGTGAGCCCCTGGGACCTTATGATGAACACTCCCCTGGGTTTATAGGAGAATTTACCCTAAGTCTTCAGTCTGGTTAATGGAGATGTTCCAGATCTCTCCTATGCATGGCCACCAGCCCCTGGTGACTCACTAATAGCTGTTCCGGCCACACCGCCYCTTCTTGCAGGGTGGGGAGAGCCTGCGGATGGTCCCTTCTCCGCCTGTATTGCGGGGACCCGGACAGCTAAGTGTCACCCCTCCCAGGACCAGGATAGGTGTGAATTGGGTGACTTAGGAAGTGAGGRCCCACAAAAAGCCCTGGGGCACCCTCAGACCCCCCAGTCCAGGAGTCTCTGCATTCATCACATGCAAAGACACGCAATGCCCCGCCCTGGGGCGCACGCCTCTCATGCCAGCGGCTGGGGAGGCTGAGGCAGGAGGATCGCAAGGTGGAGGCCAGCCTCAGCCATTTAGCAAGGCGCTTAGCAACTCAGCGAGACCCTGTCTCTAAATAAAATATATATTTAAAAAAGGGCTGGGGATGGGGCTCAGGGGTTAAGTGCCCCTGGGTTCAACCCCCACTATCCCACCCCCCCAAAAAAGAAATGCAACTCAAACATCCATTTAACTTTGATGTTGTGTTTTCCTTTTTAGTGAACCTGAAGGGATTTCTTTTCTTTCTTTCTTGCCCCCCCTTTTTTTATACCAGGAGTTGAACCCAGTGGGTGTTCTACCGCGGAGCCACATCCCCAGCCCTTTTCTAAATTTGATCTTGAGACCGGGTGCTGAGGCTGGCCTCCAACTTGTGATCCTCCTGCCTCAGCCTCCAGAGCTGCTGGAATTATAAGTGTGTGTCCCCTGCACCTGGACAAGAGACTTACGAAGGTGAAGAGATGACAGATACAAGCGTGATTGTTCATTTTGTGTGTCAACTGAACTGGGCCTTTAGGGCCAGATCTGTGGTCAAACATTATCCTAGGTGTTTCTGCCCAGGGATTTTGGGTGACATTAAAATGTAAAGGGKTGCATGTGGGTGGAGCTCAACCCGTCAGTTTCACGATTGTCCAATAAACAGATGAATGATTTTCAGCTTCAAGAAAAGCAAATTAGACCCCAGTGAGATACCACTTCATACCCACTATGTTCACCCCCCCMAAAAAAAAAAGTTTGGTTCTAGTACCTTGGAGAGGACAAGGACCCAGAGTAACAGTATAAATTGGAAGACACTCTGTAAACCATTGACATGATCTTGTAAGTTTGACTATGCTTGGCAGTTCCCCTCCTTAATATGCATATATACTCAAGAGGTGACCCTGTCCCAGTGCCGTGGTGCACACCTGTGATCCAGCAGCTTGGGAGGCTGAGGCAGGAGGATCACAAGTTGGAGGTCAGCCTCAGYATCTCAGTGAGGCCCTAAGCAACTTAGCAAGACCCTGCCTCTAAATAAAAAGGGGGATGGGGTCGAGGCTCAGTGCTTGTCTTGCATGTGTGAGGCCCTGGGCTCCATCCTCAGCACCACATATAAATATAAAAAAATTTTTAAAAATAAATAAAAGGGTTGAGGATGTACCTC